CACGATGCCGGTAGCACCCCCATCCCAAGTTGTGACAACCAAAAATGTCTGCAGATATTACCAGATGTTCCCTAAGGGAGTGAAAAATTGCCCCTGGTTGAGCACCGTTGTTCTCATTTGTCTTGAGGATAAATTTTTAGAAGTAGAATTACTGGATCTAAGGTTATGTGCGTGTAAAATTCTGATGGCGATTGCTGAGTTGCTCTCCATAGAGGTGGTACCATTTTACACCCCAACTGGCAGTATTTGAGAGTGTTTTCTCATTTTCACCAATACGGTGGTTTATAAAAAATTTTTTGGCATCTCACTATAGTTTTTATTCATACTTCTCTGCTTTACAGCTAACCTTTTTATTGAGCACTTAGCACTTGCTCGGCAAATGGTATTTTTGGCTTGTGGGTTTTGTGACATGCTGTGACGTGCTGTGAAATGCCTGCCTCCCTATGTAGCCCTTAGTCTTAGTTTGGTACCTAGAACTGAAGACAGTGCTCTGGGTTTCTTCTGATCATAAGGAAATCATACTACGTACCATCTAGTGTGTGACTGGCACTGTGCTCGGTGTGATTTACAAATGCGTTATCCCAGTGTAACCTAAGCATTTGTTTTTAATAAAATGGCGTATCTTCTTCCTTTTGAGTTGGTATGTGGCATCTCTCTGGACACATTCTGGTAGTCAAGGTCCCCTGAAGGAGGATGTGTCACAGAGAGCTGGCTGAAAGGAGTATTTGATTCTGCAGTTGGGAATCATAATAGTTCCTGCCTTGTGATCGGGTCAGATTGGTTTAGATGCCCTGATTTAAGTTTGTAAGTTCCCTCTGTTATTTTCTCTTCCAGGACTCTCTTCTTTTCCTTGTTAACCATCATCAAAGTGTGAAATTATGGCTTTGGGTATGCTTGTTTTTTTAATTCTCGTCTCTAGGCCTGTTTGTTCACCACTACCCACCTAACGCCCAATACAGTGTGTGGCACATGGTGTGTGCCCAGTCAACACCTGCATGGATGAGAACTGAGGAGCCCTGGGAGCCGGGCCACTGAAGGCCTCAAGGCCAGATTTGCCCTTCAGTGGATTGAAGAGTTGAGTTCATTTAGCGATGAGCTCTGTCACATTCCCAGGATGAAGCCATCTTCCCTCCTAAGAGGGTCGGAACTAGTTGGTTCTTATGTTTTTCTCTTGACCATTTGGGTTTTGGGGGGAACTTTGATCCAAATGACCCTCAGTGAGTTTGGCTGAAAGCTGTGGAAGTAAGCAAAGTGAAATCCTCTCCTAACTGAGCAGTTATCTAGAAATTGTGATGTGATTGAGTTCTGATGTGAGCGATTTTCTGGTATTTCCAGAGATAAAGTCTGTGTTAAGGAGGCCTAAGACCCAGTTACCTCTGGCTTTAATGACTGCTTTGCTAAGCCAGCAAGATGTTTGGAACCCTGCTTGATAACCACAGTTTACTTGCTTTTTTTTTGTCTCCTTCCAGGAATTTATGTGAGGATTGTTTAGTGTTGGCCAGATAACTTGTTTGGCTAGTTTACTATTCTCTGCTCTGGAGGCCGGTGCTCAGAAACAAGAACTCAAGGGGTGGGGCAGGACAACAAGGGGAAAGTCACTGCCTCTGAGGGGGAAGGAGCAGCTGGGCCACGGGTTGACAAACTGTTTCTGAAAAGGGTCAGGTAGTAAATAATTTGGCTTTGCAGGCCATGGTCTCTGTCACATCTTTGCTTTTTACAACTGGTTAAAGATGTAAAAACCATTCCTAGGTCATAAGCCTTATAAAAACAGGACATAGCCAGATTTTGGGCCATGGGCCATGGTTTGCCAACCTCTGAGCTAGGTGAAGAAATTAGTTTAATGCTAAACATGTTTAGTTTAATGTTTTTGGGGCTGTGAACCAGAATAACCTTGGGAATTCTCAGTTGATTGTGATCCAAAGAAAAGAGATCTAGGGCCAGCCCCGTGGCTTAGCGGTTAAGTGCGCAGGCTCCGCTGCCGGCGGCCCGGGTTCGGATCCCTGGCGCGCACCGATGCACCGCTTGTCCGGCCATGCTGAGGCCGCGTCCCACATATAGCAACTAGAGGGATGTGCAACTATGACGTACAACTATCTATTGGGGCTTTGGGGAAGAAAAAAAGAGGAGGATTGGCAATAGATGTTAGCTCAGAGCCGGTCTTCCTCAGCAAAAAGAGGAGGATTAACATGGATGTTAGCTCAGGGCTGATCTTCCTCACCAAAAAAAACCAGAAAAGAGATCTAAACGCTGGCATGGGAAGTCAAAGTGACCCTGGTGTCAGTCACTTTGGGTCCATAGAGCTCAAGGTGACCTTGGCCAGAGTGACAGCAGCGGTCCGGTGGGACAGAGGTCTTGCTGCTGCTTTCCCATGGGAGTGCTGGCTGAGGAAGACAGGGATGGAAGAGAGGAGCGGGGGCATGGCCCTCAAGTTAGGCTGGCATTAGATGGGTTTAAGGAACACAGTGACTCAGCATATTACTTTGGTTAAGTCTCAGAAATACATCCAATTTCCTGAGCCTCTGCTAGGATGTAGTTACAAGTCTGGCATGTGCCAGTTTGACCAGTTTATAAAAATGAAGGAGCAGGTTTGTACCTTGGATTCTGAGAACACCAGACTCTGTACATGAATCCAGATTTGCTCTGTGGTTTTCTCTGATTGCAAGAGGTCCTGTACAGCAGGCCTGGCGTGAAGGAAGCGTTCATTTATTTCAAGGTGGTTTGGGAGATAGGAGGGCACAGACAGTAAAGAGCGTGGACTGTGAGACAGGTGCGCTTGTCCAGATTCCCACTCTACCACCCACTAGCTGTGTGATCCTGGGTAACCTGCTAATCCTCTGAGCCAAGTTCCCTTCCCTGTAAAGAGCGGTGATAATGATCACTCCACCATGGGGTTATGAGAATGAAGTGAGGATCGTATATGTAAAATGCTTATTCTCTTAGCTCAGGGTCTGTAGTGTTAGCATTCAGTAAATGTTAGCAATAATAATGATAATGTGGAAGTGAAGGATCAGAAACAGGAAATAGTACTTGTGACTCAGTGCTACTGAAATATCATGTCTTTAATTTAATCACTAGATGTGTGGGAATGTAATGGGGCCAGTACTGGATTAGGAGTCAGGAGAACTGGATCTGTGTCTGCCTCGCTCCGTTTCCTAATTGGTAAATAAAAATAATATGTGTTGACAGCTTGTGAGATACTACGTGAAAGGGCATTGAGTTCTATAAAGCAGTGGACAAAATTGGAGGTGAAGTCAGTAACCTGTTCACTTGCTCAGTTTCGTGAACTTCTGAGTGTATTGGAACAGAGCCAGAAGGTGATTAGTGTGGAGCCAGAATGTCTGCCAGAGAGGCTTCACAGGATGCTCCCAGTTCAGGACTTGTGTTGGTAACTGGTATTAGGAATGAGTAATATAAAATTGGAATACTTTTGTAAGATATTTGAAATAGTGGAAAATTAAAAATGAGTGGCCATAGTAAGTGAAAGAAGCCAATCTGAAAAAACTATACACTGCATGATTCCAACTATAAACGCAAAGCTATGGAGACAGTAAAAGGATCAGTGATTGTCAGGGGTTGGGGTCAGGGAGGGATGAATAATTGGAGCACAGAGGATTTTTAGGGCAGTGAGAATACTCTTTGTGATATTATGAAGATGGATACTTGTTATTATACATTTGTCCAAACCCACAGAAGGTACAATACCAAGAGCAAACCCTAATGCAAACTATGGACTTTGGGTGATTATGATAACGTAGGTTCATCAGTTGTAACAAATGTACCCCTCTGGTGGGGGATGTTGATAATGGGGGAGGCTATGCGTGTATAGGGCAGAGGGTATATGGGAAATCTCTGTACCTTCCTCTTAATTTTGCTGTGACCCCAAAACTGCTCTAAAAAAATAGTCTTAAAAAAAATGAAAAGAGTGGCCAGTGTGGGGAGATAGGCTGGAGGAGTTTAATCTCTATGTAGAAAATGTGATGATACCTCGTAAAATTAAAACTGTATATTTCGGGCCGGCCCTGTGGCTTAGTGGTTAAGTGAGCGCGCTCCACTGCTGGCGACCCGGGTTCGGATCCCGGGCTCACACTGACGCGCTGCTTCTCCGGCCATGCTGAGGCCGCGTCCCACATACAGCAACTAGAAGGATGTGCAGCTATGACACACAACTATCTACTGGGGCTTTGGGGGGAAAAAATAAATAAATAAAATCTAAAAAAAAAAAAAAAAAGAGGTTACAACCAAGTTAACTTCAAAAAAAAAAAAAAAAACCTGTATATTTCTTTGCCCTGCAATTCCATTTCCAGGAATTTATCCTGAGAATGTATTTGCATGTGCGTTTTGTGCGCTAAATCCTGTGTACGCACATTATTTATAACAACAAAAAAGTGGAAGCACTTGTGTCCAACCTCAGGAAACCAGTTAACGCAATCCTGGTACATTCGTACAGGTGAAAACTATGCACCAGTAAGAGTGAGGGAGCTCTGTATTTGCTGATGGAACCCTCTTCCAAGATGTGTTAAGTGAAAAAAACGGAAAGCTAGGTAAAGAATGATGTTCGTAGTATGCCGTCGTCATTGTTGCCAGCTGGGGGGCAGTAGAAAAAGGTCAATTATGATGTCCTTGTATAAGCATAGACTATCTCGGGAAGAATAGGAAGCTGGTAACATGCTGGCACCTCTGGATAAGAGCTCTGGGTAGCTGGGGGCCAGGTAGGAGAGGAATTGACTTTTCACAGTATACCCTCTTAATCTTTTGAAATGTGTCTTATTTCCATATATTCTCTATTCAAAAAGTTTGGCCACAGATTGAAGTTGAAAACTGTATGAAACTATATGAAACATCTGTGTATTTTCCTCCCACATGCGTGTCTGCCACCTCTTGCTCTGCGCAGTCCCCTTGACCTTGATGACTTGAGAAGCTGACACTGACCCTAGGCTTACCCTGAAACAGTCCCTGCCCCCAAAGCATATTGGCGTTTCTCCTCTTGATTTGTGTGACTGACGATGTTTCTCTTTCCACCCCCAGCTTTGGCAGCATGTGAGCAACGTCTTGCCAAGAACCCAGGTCACCACTGAGAAGGGAGCCTTAGGGAGAATATCCAGAGGAAACCAATGCCAGACGCATCTGGAATTACAGTCACCACGGCAGCATGAGACATTCTGTGCCAGCATCTGTGTCCTGCTGGCAAAGACTGTAGCTCTCCAGGCAGGAGGGTCCTGGAAGCAGCAAGCACCAGGAGCCTCTAGAGAAAGAATGGGGACAGATATGAACTCTCTACAATGAACACATTTTCAGCTTATGAAGGAATTTTGAGTAAAACAGTTATTTAATTTCCACATATTGAAGTTCAGTAGCCTTCTGTGTGAAGTGCCAGCAGTCTCCCCTTCACGGGAGTTATTGGGATTTTTCTGGCACCAAGTTGAACTCTTCTTCATACTTCTGGCAGTGACAGATCTTCAGGACAGATTTATCTGCTAAATGCTTTTGGGCAGGAAAAAAAGTAAAACTTCTGGAAGCAGTGTAAGGGTAGCAGGGCAGAGATCCCTCCTTCACAGCTCACTTTCACAGAAACTTGGCCCGGACTCAGATGCTTGTATTGGCAATTGATTCTGCCTCGTTCACCTCCAAGTCCATCTGTTCTGGAGAGATCTGGCGTTTTTGGGCTGCCTCCTGTGGCCCTTCTTACTGTCCTTCTACTCGCAAGCTTTCTATTCAGGCAGTCAAATGGTGTGAACTTTGGAATGGAGTTTGTTATCCTCTGGGGACTTGCTCCCTTTCGCGGGCTGCTGCTGTCTGAGAGGACTGTCTGAAGGCCGTGGTCTGTTCTTGGGGAGGAGGGCACTGGCCTTGCCTGGATCCTCCATCATGTTCCTGTTGCTGCCTTTTGATAGCCTGATTGTCAACCTTCTGGGCATCTCCTTGACCGTCCTCTTCACCCTCCTTCTCGTTTTCATCATAGTCCCTGCCATTTTTGGAGTCTCCTTTGGTATCCGCAAGCTCTACATGAAAACTTTGTTAAAAATCTTTGCGGTGAGTTGTGCTGTTTACAAATGGTTCCTTCACAGAGGAGGGAAGATGTGCCGTCAGCAAAAAGAGTTGTTCTTACCTGGTTGATTATTATCTCTGTATTAATATGGAGAAATAAGGGGGAATGGGAAATGGCATTTGAGTAAAAAGAATAGCTAAATGTGTACATGTGAAAGCCCTGAGCAATCTTTCTTTTTGAGCTCAGGTACTTGTATGTTTGATTCATCTGCGCAAAGGAGCCTGTTCATGACTCCACACCTGGCCTGTTGATTTCAAAGAGAAGGGCTTAGAATTAAGGGAAAAAATCACTGCCAGAGTCTCTGCCTCCTCTTGTGTAGCAGATACTAAAACACAAAGCCGCTGCTGACATCTTCCCTCAGTGATCAGTATGAGACTCTCGTCGTTCTCTCTCATATATGTATCAAATAGGTTCTTGCATTCAGACAAAAAGAATTAACAGAAAAGGACATTTGATGAATTGTTTTATTTTCTTAAAGATAGGGGAGAAGGATATTAAATTTCTTTTTTTTTTTTTCCTATGAGGAAGATCAGCCCTGAGCTAACATCCATGCCAGTCCTCCTTTTTTTTTTTTTTACCCCTTTTTCTCTCCAAAGCCCCAGTGGATAGTTGTATATCATAGTTGCACATCCTTCTAGTGGCTGTATGTGGGACACTGCCTCAGCATGGCCAGACAAGCGGTGCGCGCCCAGATCTGAACCCGGGCCGCCAGTGGCGGAGCACACACACTTAACCACTGAGCCACAAGGCCAGCCCCCATAAATTTCTTAACATGTGTCAGAACTAAACTGGTTATACCACTGAAGAGAACTGGTTACAATGTAAAGGGAATGGGGTAGAAGTGATAGTTCCTGGGGGTTGATCTATGCCGCAAGACTTTAAATATCTATTCAAAGATTTGGTAATTTGTTGGCAATATCCTTTTCAGTGGTCACCAAATCTTCAGGTGTTCTTTTCCACAACTGAGACCATGTATAATTTGAGAAATGCACTCATAATAGTAAAAATAATACAGTATTATTTGTTCATATAGTGTCTGTGGTTTCAGAATAATTTCATTCATTTTCCTTTGGTTCCTTATAATTCTGCAGTGGACAGGGTATCTGCATTTTATCAGTGAAGAAATAGAGACTCAGAAAGATTAAGTGAGGTATATGAAATGTTACATTATAGTGGGAAATATTTTTTATGTATGTTATTGAATCTTGGGTTTTAGTATTTAATATTCCTATAAGAATATGATTTTTTTCACATTTTAAAAAATTGAGGTGAAATTGACATATTAAATTAACCATTTTAAAGTGAAGAATTTAGTGGATTGATTATATTCACAGTGTTGTATAACCCCACCTCTATCTCGTTCCACAACTTTTTCATCACTCCAAAAGGCAACTCCATACTCATTAAGCAGTTGCCCCCTGTTTTCCCCTCCCCTGGCAACCACGAGTCTATCTTCTGTCTCTGGATTTACCTCTTCTGGATATTTTATATTAATAGAATCGTGTAAAATGTGCTCTTTTGTGACTGATTGGCTTCTTTCATTTAGCATAATGTTTTTGAGATTCATCCATGGTGTAATGTTTTAGTACTTTGTTTTTTATGGCTTAATAGTATTCCAGTGTGTGTCTCTACCATAATTTGCTCGTCCATTCATGCATTGATGGGCAGCTTCGACCTTCTGGCTGAACTCAATAGTGCTGCTAAGGTGCATGTACTTGTTTGAGTACCTGTTTTCAGTGATATGATTTTTGAGCACTACTTGTGTCTCTGGGGTTATCTAGTTCCTTGCTACTGGGAGAGTGGTCTGGAGACCAGAAGCATGAGTATCACCTGAAAGCTGGTTAGAAATGGCGGTCTCAGGCCCACTCAGGCCTACTGAATTAGAATTTACATTTCAACAAGATCCAGGTAATTCATAGGCACATTAAAGTTTGAGAAGTGGTAATCTAGTCAGGCTTTGGACTGGCTGCTTTACTAATGTATAGTATTTTAATTAATCAGGAAATGTAATTCTCTTAAATTTCAGTCCAAGAAAATCTTCAGTAGATCCCAGGGTTCCTGTGGACCATATAGCTTACTACCCCTGCCCTTTTGCCACTATGAAAAACGTATGCCAGTATAGAGTCAGTAGAACAGCTGATAAACTTTTAGGAGACAACCGTGAGGGATATCTAGCTTTCATTCAAGTTTATAAGCAAGTGATTAATTCATAGACTTACGGAAATCCTTATTTTTATTTTAAATTTTTTTATTGATGTCATAATAGTTTATAACATGGTGAAGTTTTAGTTGTACATTATTGTTTGTGAGTCACTGTATGAATGCATCCCTTCCCCCCTTGTGCCCACTCCCCCAACCCCCCTTGCCCCTCATAACCACCAAACAGTTCTCTCTGTGTGTTGGTTTATATTCCACATATGAGAGAGGTCATACAGTGTTTGTCTTTCTCTCTCTGGATTATTTTGCTTAACATAATACCCTCTAGGTCCTAACATAATACCCTCTAGGTCCGTCCATGTTCTTGCAAATGGGACAATTTTGTCTTTTTTATGGCTGAGTAGTATTCCATTGTGTATATATACCACATTTTCTTGATCCAGTCATCAGTCAAGGGACACTTGGGTTGCTTCCACGTCTTGGCTATAGTGAATAATGCTGCAGTGAACATAGGGGTGCATAAGCCTGTTTGGATTATTGATTTCAGGTTCATTGGATAGATACCCAGTAGAGGGACAGCTGGGTTGTGTGGTATTTCTATTTTTAATTTTTTGAGGCATCTCCATACTGTTTTCCGTAGAGGCTGCACTAGTTTGCATTCCCACCAGCAATGAATTAGGGTTCCTGTTTCTCCACATCCTCTCCAACATTTGTTTTTTGTGGTGATTATAGCTATTCTAACGGGTGTAAGGTGATATCTTAGTGTAGTTTTGATTTGCAGGAAATCCTTATTTTTAAAACATAGAAATAGGAGTTGTCAGCCTGGGGTTCTTCTGTTGAGGCTAAAATTTTTTAACTTAGATCGCTTTGGGTAGGACAGAAGGCCTAGAATCCATGTATAGTCCCTACTCTATTTTGAAAATGCCCCCCAAAATTAATAAAGTTCATAGCCAAGTAAATCCTCCTTATTGTGACTATATTTTTAAATGTACATTCTTGTGACTTTTAATGTAGATTATAATTATGCAATGGAGAGTTTGTTAAATATGTATTGTTGGATCAGTCCATGGGACAGATGTCTTGAACTGTCAGACTCTTTGCTGACCACGTATTGAAAATCACTGGTTTGAGGCACAGTGGTTTAGAAGTGGTACCAGAAGTAATGTGTGTATATATGTATATACCCATTTGTGACCTCAAGATTTGGAATTTCAAGAACTAGATTTGCACCTCCTATTTCCTAGAGGCCTGTGTCAGGCACTTAGAGGGTTCTGGGTACCCTGTGGCTCCTGTCCTGTTGAGCTTCATGGATAATTACAACTTGGCTGTGAGCTAGAGTAAGGGGTGGGCTAGAAGGGACTGATAGATACCAGCAGGGGCATAGGGTGGGTCTACAAGAGGGTACAGTCTTTTCTCACCCTCTGCAAAGGCTTATTGCTCTGAGTTGATCTTAATGGAAAGAAAGAACTGAATGTGATTTTTATCAGTGGTAGTATTAGATACAAGTTGGATTTGGCCAAACTGGTTTTAGATCTTGGGAAGTACACATCTGTGTGTACATCTAGAATATACCGATACTTGTGGGTGTTTTTTAATAGAGGAGAGACCTTTATTTTGCTTTTTTCAGCCTCTTCATCCCTTCCTAAATTGGGATGATATATATAATTTCGAGGTGGAGGGAAGCTCATAGATCATCTTAATTCTGTGGGTCTCCCCTGCTAACTACACATTTGAATCACCTGGGGAAGCATTTTAAAAGTACTTATGTGAGAGCACTAGAATCTCCCCAGAAATTCTGATTTAATTGATTTGGGTGGGCATTTTTTAAGACTTTCTTAAGTGATTCTGACATAAGCCATCAAAAGGTAGAGTGTGGTTCACCTCCTCTTGAATGGGGACCTGCCTTAGTGACTCATTTCTAAATAGAATGTGGTGGAATGTCACGCTGTGTGACATGTGAGATTAGGTTAGAAACAGCAATATAACTTCCATCTGACTCTTGAGATGCCTCCCTCTGGAACCCAGCCACCATGTTGTGAGGAAGCCTAGGCCACGTGTGGGTGTTCTGCTCACAGCCCCTGGAAGGCTCTGACAACCAGCATCAACTGCCACACACAGGAGTGAGCAAGCCTACAGAGGATTCCAGCCCTCCTTCACCAGGGTGAAGGAGTCCAGTTCACTGAGCAGCCATTCCTTCACAGGTGGCTCCCAGCTAGCCCCCAGGTTCCTCCGCCTCTGCTCTTTCCCTGCTCTTGACTTTGGGCAGTTCTTTCCTAGACACAGAAGCACTTAGTAATGTACCTGAAGTTTGAAAAAGTAAAGCTAGAAGTAAAAGCAGGAGGGCAAGGGATGTTTGTGACAGAGCTTTGTCACAGAGCTTAGAGATGTAGAGTCTCTTTTAACCAGTACCCTTCCACGTAAAACCAGAAAACCACAGCCATCTCGAATTTTGCATAGTAAAGCAGTCCTCACAGACCTAAATTCTAGTGCTCAAGGGGCCTGACGTCATATATTCCTGCCTATTGCAATCTAAGTGTAAGAATTGTCAGGTCAGAACCACATCTTGCTGCTTTTGACTATGCATACAATACCAACAGAGTCTTGGCCAAAATGGAAAACACTAAACTCTGGTTGAGGGACCTGTGTGCCAGGCCTGTTGTCAACTCTCTTGTCCCTTATTCACCTCTTCCCTGGATGGAATTCACTTTCCTCCATTTTAGGGGTTATGTATATATACATTTTCTTCTAGAAAAGATCATCCGTACATAGAGCTGGAAGACATAGGTGGCTAAATATCTGAAATATAGAACATGAGTTAGGTGTGTTTCCTTGCCTTAGACCTTGCCTTGCCTTTGAGTGGGTGACTATGTAAGCCGTCTGTTTTTTCTAGACAGTGGCGTTTGACCAGATGAGGTCAGATCACTGATTAAACTCGTGTCTGACCTGGTTTTGGCTCTGCTAGACCAGGCAGAGTAGTCTTACTAATACTTCAGGCTCTACCAGCAGAATCCACAAATGCTTCAGGCCATGTGGATTTTGCTGCGTCATGGAGTAAGAGTTCTTTCCCGCCTTGCATAACCGTGGAAACAGGTTTGAAAAGACACTTTAAGATATCTGTTCTGGGCCGGCCCCGTGGCTTAGTGGTTAAGTGTGCGCGCTCCGCTGCTGGTGGCCCAGGTTCAGATCCTGGGCGCGCACCGACGCACCGCTTGTCCGGCCATGCTGAGGCCGTGTCCCCCATACAGCAACTAGAAGAATGTGCAACTATGACATACAACTATCTACTGGGGCTTTGGGGAAAAAAAAGGAGGAGGATTGGCAATAGATGTTAGCTCAGAGCCGGTCTTCCTCAGCAAAAAGAGGATTAGCATGGATGTTAGCTCAGGGCTGATCTTCCTCACAAAAAAAAAATGATATCTGTTCTGTTCTTTGACTCCTCATGGACATAACTTTGTGTGCAGTGATAACGCCTTCCAGTAGAGAGTAAGTGGGCTCATGTTTCCACCTTCCGGATTTGGTAAAGGGAGAGACCCAGCCTCTGACCCTCTTACTCTAGTTAAGAGGGTTTTAATGAAGGAAGGGAGGCCCTAGGAAGAGCCTCTCTTTTGTAGATCTCTTCTCAAGCCCATTATTATTTCAATAATAATGAGGACAAAGCGTTTTGCAGTTTCCCAAGTTCTGTCACATGTGATCTCACTGCCTCCATGACGTAGGAGGTCGATGTACCATTCTGTTTTGTAGATAGAAAAGAGTGCTGGAATGAGCTGCTTAAGGAACATAGCATAAGTGTCAAACTTGGGATTTGAACCTAGATTGTTTTTATCTCCAAATAGTGTTTTTTTGTTTTGTTTTGTTTTGTTTTTTTAACACTAAGCCACTCCCAAGCCTTTCTATGTTAGGGTGTGAAGTTCTCCTGTTAAAAGGTTACTCAGAGGGTGAATGGGCAATCCAGACATAAATATTATATAAATCCTTTATCTACTTGAAAACTGAAGTTGTTGCTTTCTTGGAATAATTTGGGAGGTAGGCAGCATAGTAGCTTAAAGGATGCTTGATTTTGTGGTTTGTGAATAGCGACTGTTTGGCAATAAAGAAGGAACATGTGAGGTCTGTGCACTTTTGGCTGGTGAGTTCCTTAAGGAGCTGGGAGACAGATTTAGGCAGTGAGAAGCAGGCCCAAGAAACTTACCAAGCTCCTTAGTTTCCAGCTCTTTCCTATCGGTGACTTAACTTGGTCCTACTTATCAAGGAGGGGCCTGCTCTAGGAGGAGAGGGCTTTGAGTCTCCCTTTAGAATGGATGCTCTCTGGGCTGCAGTCTGGTCTGAGCTGATGGGCTTGAGGCTTTCACAGAATGGAAATGGAGGTGTTGACTGAATGACAAGGGTCTCATTCTTGTTGGTTGCCGTTTCTCCCCCACAGTGGGCTACTTTGAGAATGGAGAGAGGAGCCAAGGAGAAGAACCATCAGCTTTACAAGCCCTATACCAATGGTAAGACTGGGACTGGATGCTTGTCCTGAGAGGCCCTTTGAAATGTGTTCCTGAGTGCTTTTAATTCCACACCTGCTCTTCACCATATAAAAGTAGGATATGTCCTCTGAATATTTTTAACGTGCTTTCTCCCAGTGTGCTGCTTAACAGGGTTGTTCTCTTTTGCAGGAATCATTGCAAAAGATCCCACTTCACTAGAAGAAGAGATCAAAGAAATTCGTCGAAGTGGTAGTAGTAAGGCTCTGGATAATACTCCAGAGTTTGAGCTCTCCGACATTTTCTACTTTTGCCGGAAAGGAATGGAGACCATTATGGATGATGAGGTGACGAAGAGGTTTTCCGCAGAGGAGCTGGAGTCCTGGAACCTGCTGAGCAGAACCAATTACAACTTCCAGTATATCAGCCTCCGGCTCACTGTGTTATGGGGGTTAGGAGTGCTGATTCGGTATTGCTTCCTTCTGCCACTCAGGTGAGGGCAGGACCTGATGGGGACAAAGACTAGAGCTGCTGCTGCCTAAGCCTGATGCAGGGTCTCCTAACCTCTGTCTGCCTCCTTGGTTTTCCTGTTTTAGCAAGGATAGTGTGATTCTTTCACTGGCCAAGTCCGTCTGACTCTTGGAAGGGTACACTGCTGGTTTTCCTTTAAAGGCCCTTGGAGTCTCTGCATATCAGACAGAAATAGTGGGGTTTCTTAAAGACAAATTGCTTGTCTAGGTGAACTAAACATAGGGACAGGGAACACGATGTCCTTTCTGGCCACTCCTCCTGGGCACAGCTCATTCTTTCCTATAGCTTGCCTCTACTACAGAGGCAATATTGATCTCTCAGTTTTTCTGTACTGTGTGCTATTCTGAGTATGTCTTGCCAGTTGCTGGTACCTTTAGGCTCTCCTTCCTGTTGCTTCACAGAGAAGCTGTGCTTCTGCCAGGGTTTGAAGCCAAAGGGAAGGGCAAGACGGCAGGGCAGCAAGTGCCTGAGGGCAGAACAGCCAGCGTGAGGATTTTCCATCATTTTGGCTGCCTGATGCCTGAGGAGATAGTGTCAGTTGAGAGAGCCAGATCCATAGTTCACTGTCAGTTTGGAATCAGAATGATCTCTGGGTCTGATAGGCCTGCTCGCATTTCTCAGTGGAGCTCTTATCTAGGTCCTGAGTGATGAGATCTTGGGAGTGGTTTTCATGATGCCCACTTTCATTTTCACACATTCAGTTCTATACTTGGTGTGAGGATTTATATGCTGTGTTTTAACTCGTCTTCTTATTACAGGATAGCTCTTGCTTTCACGGGGATTAGCCTTCTGGTGGTGGGCACAACCATGGTGGGATACTTGCCACATGGGAGGTGAGTCGAGTGCGGGTGTTCATGTTTGAAGGGTACTGGTTCTGGGCTTGGTGGCTCCGATACTGAAGGCCAGTCTGCTGCATTGGGTACAGCCAAATCCACAGAACCTTAGGTAGGTAAAATAACCCAATGATAACAGTGGCATCAGCATTTGAGTCTTTTACTTTTTTACTGATCTTGATCTATGACTGTGTTCTTTTTGCCCTCCAGCCCTCACAGTCTTCCCATTTTAAAGACAAAAGGGAGAACCCCCAAAACTGGAGAGTCCAGGGCAAGCAGATTTTAAAGCTTCTTTAGTTTTGAGCATTCTGCTGTGTTGATAAATTGGCAAGTGGATAAGAAATATAGGTAGGGCTTTTTTGTTTGTTTTTTTTTTTTAAGATAGATCTGCTCCTTCTGGGAAGTTCTGGGGCTAGCACACCTTTCTTCTGCCCTGGCTGGTGAGGAGGGTTGAGTCTCTGGGCTTCACCCTGCCTCTAGGGTTGACGGGAAGGAAGGGGATCTAGGAGACTTAACCTGCACTGGTAATTCTAGGGCTGTGTGTTCTGAGCCCATTAACTTAGGTGAATGTAGGCAATTCTCATCGTTTCTTTGTTTCCTCATATGTAGACGTAAAGATGCTAATTCACTACGGGGTTTTTCTGTATACAGTAATATTTATAAAAATACTTTGCAGTCATAAAGGACTATAGGCAGTGATAGTTAAATTGTTGGAGTCAGCAACTTCTCTTGTCTTCTTATATGTAAAATAAACACAAAAATCTGTGTCTTGTTGTTGCAGGTTTAAGGAGTTCCTGAGTAAACATGTTCACTTAATGTGCTATCGGATCTGCGTGCGAGCCCTGACAGCCATCATTACCTACCACGACAGGTGAGGTCACTGTACCATTGGAGGGAAATGGTGCTGGCAAAACCTGACCCTACTCAAGCTGGCCGGCCAGCAGGGCTCCTCTGAGTGTTCAGTAGAGCTGATGGAGCTGCTGGGGTGAGGGATGAGAGCCAAGTAGATGGCTTCCCACTAATTTTTGTTGTTGCTTTGCATACATTTTAAACACAGGAAAAACAGGCCTAGAAACGGTGGCATCTGTGTGGCCAATCACACCTCTCCTATTGACGTCATCATTTTGGCTAGTGATGGCTATTATGCCATGGTAAGACCTCCTGTTGGTTTCTTGGGGCAGGACTTCTTACTTTAGACTGTGAGGGCTGGGGGGCTCTGGACCCTTCACAGACCTCCTTCTTAGGGTATAACTAGGTAGACGTCTTTTTTATACATTTGTATGTATACATTTATATATTATATATGTATACATTTATATGTCTACCCAACCTAGGTTGTCACCTTCGTATCTGTTGCTTTTGGGAACTCCTTGGGCCTTTGGTAGGAGATGTTCTGAGCAGAGTCACTGAGAGTGTGGTTGGAGATCAGAGTTTGGACATTTAGGTGGACCATGGAAAGAGGTGAAGGGTGGGGAGGGAGGATGTGGAAAGACTGAGTTAGGGGCATTGGAGAATCTGCCCAGGGAGGGCATTGTTACACAAGGTATTGCTCACCTTCAGTATTTCCTCTTAGAGTTTTCAGCTCTGTTCTTAGTTACACATCTCAGGTATCACTGATTAAAAGGAGAAATTTAAGATTCAGGTAGTCTGATAGTGGTTTCTTAATAGAAACCTGTGGTTATCAATTGACTGTTAGAGGGTGAGAGGTTGGGGTACTTGTCTTGTGGGATCTGGGGCTTCCTCATCAGAGTTGGGGATTTGTGCCGGGATAGCTTCACCACCAGTTGTTCCTGTGTCTGCGCTTAGGTGGGTCAAGTGCACGGGGGACTCATGGGTGTGATTCAGAGAGCCATGGTGAAGGCCTGCCCTCACGTCTGGTTTGAGCGTTCAGAAGTGAAGGATCGCCACCTGGTGGCTAAAAGGTAAACCAGCAAGATGCTGCTGTTCTGGATGACCAGTTAGAGAGAAAGTATGCATTTTAGGGCTAGTGATCCCTCCACAGTGGAATTATAGCATCTTCTACACGGAGGCTATACTGCTTTCATAATAAAGTTTTAAACATGGAATATAAAAATAACCCTAGTATTATTTACCAAGTTGGTAAGGTTTCTTAACCTTTTTATTCCTTTACTCATTGTAATAAATGACATATGAACTTTTCATGCTATTTGGAATCTCAGAATGAGTTCCTTTATCACAAATAAAAGCAAACTTAAGGCAATGGAACAAAGTCCTGCTCTGTTTTCAAGCCTGAAGAAAAGATCAGTCTAGTATGAATGGGGGCAAGAGCTTTGCAGTAAATGGAGAGGCATCAGGACGCAGCTGAGACCATCTCCACTGGGGACAGATGAACCCGCTGCTAAATTCCCTCTGCTGCATCTCTCGGGACAGCGTTAGCCGGGTGGACTGTAGGTCCACCCAGCGCACCTGTCGGGAAGTTTGGTACAGGCGTTGATTGAGGGCGCTCTTGGCAGGGCCCTGTGGCAGGCATGTCCTTTGGGTAGTCCCCAGGCTGAACAGTGTCCTCTGTGCACAGACTGTGATACTTAATTCAACAGTTTTATGAATTAAATAGTAATCTGATTTTCCCTGTCTTGGTAAGTTTTGTCTTTATGAGATGAAGATTGTGGGCTTATGAAAGATAGGGTCATATTTGTTAACTTTTCTGTACCATCTGGTATCACATCTATGTAGGTTATCCATAAATGCATTTTGATGATGATGTACGTAAGGCTGTCTGACCCTTCGTTTTACTTTTCTCTCCTGAAGACTGACTGAGCACGTGCAGGATAAAAGCAAGCTGCCCATCCTCATCTTCCCAGAGGGTAAGAAGGCTGCTCACCACAGGAGGCTTCTGTGTGGGGAGGCCCTGCAGGCTCAGGGCCGTGCTATGGCCTCGGAGCCAAGTCTCAACCTTTGTTGGGCTGTTTTCACTGACTAATGCTAGGTCCCCTTTAAGTTGGTTGTGGGACTAGAACCTCAGGGGAATTCAGGATTTGGACTAAGAGTGCCATAGTGTGAACTTCCCCAGTGCAGAAATCCCATCTCTATATTGTCGTCAGGGTCTCGCAGCTTCTCACAGAGTTTTTACTGAGACCTCCCAAGTCTGCTCAGTGTCTCTGGCTGTTATCTGGGATGGTGTATGTGACTCAGGGAAATAGTCCTGTTATCGGAGAATGGGAAGCAATACAGTATTTTGCTCATCTCTTTTTTAAGTGTTAATTTATAAGCTAGGGAGATGACAGATTTATCCTGTTTGAAGAGCCATTAGAAGAATTTTTATTATTATATTTCGTCCTTAAACTCTTAGTCTCTGGGGTAAAGGACCAAAAGAAATAGCATTTTACTCTCTGCTGCATTTTAGGAACCTGCATCAATAATACATCGGTGATGATGTTCAAAAAGGGAAGTTTTGAAATTGGAGCCACAGTTTACCCTGTTGCTATCAAGGTACGTGACCTCTGAGGGTCATTACCACAGCTGCCATGGATGGGACGCAGCAGGAGGAGGTGGAGGAGGGAGCAGTGAGCGGGTTGATCCTCTTTGGCAGGGCAGCCTGGGGCTGGGCTAGTGTGGGTAGGACACTAGAGGAGGAGAATGTGAAACTTCATAACCCGGTAGAAGGGACTGGGGAGTGTTTGAGTGAGGAACAGCCAGATTCCAGCCACACCTCGCTGTCACCACCAGATTCAGGAAGTGGCAAGCCCTTCATAAGCTGTGTATATCTCTCCCCCCGTGCATTACCTTTTTCTTCATAAACCCAACTAGAACGTAAGGCACTCCATTTGAAGAGGCAGCTTACTGCGAGGGGGGCGGTGGGGCTGCCCAGCTGGATCTGCTGGAGAGGTGAGGATGGATGGGTGCAGGTTTATGTACCCTGAAGGAAGGGTAGGTACCTCCACCGGGCTGTCATATCATCTTATATACTGAGGAGAGCTTGTAAACATGAGACGGATCTGAGAGCTTGTACCTCTGACTATTCCAGCTCACATAGAGAGATGGGATTCAGTTAGCCAGTCAGTTTCCCTTTTTCCCCCCTTCACATCCATCTGATGATTTTATATATAGCCACATAGTATTATTTCTAAAAGAACGCTATTACTCACGTTATTACTTCTGAAAACCACAGGCTGTTGTCCATATGTTTAAAGTATTTAGGTTGGACTCTCAGATCAATGTAAAGCAGTGTGTAAATTTGAGTCAGAGTTGTGCTTAGAATTTCGTCTCTGTACTTTTGCAGGGGTGCGCTTGTTGTCTGCAGAGCGTTCTGTAGAAATATTCCTCATTTTCACTTGGCAGCACAGCGGGTGCGGTTGGGGGAAGAGGTGTTGCTCTTGGTTAAGCAGGTGCTTACCAGCCGCTCTGCTTTTACCAGGAGGCAGAGTACCAGGGCGGAGATGGCAAATGATGGCTGCAGGGTAGCTGATCTGTGGGTTAGGGCTGCCCCGGCAAAGTGTCAGGGATGCTGTGTCTGTGCACAGCAAGAAGGGAAACAGTCTGTCAGCAGTGTCTGCTGTGGCTATAGGAACAGGGAGTGGCGTTTGTGTCACACGCGTGCCATCCTGCATTGTTATTTAACATACTGAGGGTCCAGTACTCCACCACGTGTGTATTGAAAACAAACTACTAGATAGAAGCCCCTATCGCTCTCTCCAGAGCATCGGTTCTTTTTAGCTGCATCAGCATCACCTGGAGGGACTGTGGAAATGCAGATTGCTGGGCCCCACGCCCAGCGTTTCTGGACTTGCGTTTCTGACCTGCCCTGGGCGCCGCAGCTGCTGGTCAGGAGCCACACTATGAGGCTGCTGCTCTGGAGCAGTGGTTCTTAACCAGTCTGGGGACATGGGCCCTTGGGACAGTTATGACTCTCTCCAAAGACAAAAGCATGTAAATTTTACACATAATTTCATTCCATTCACAATTTATTAAAGCCCACAGAGGATTCAGAATTTCTGCTCCACTGATACTTTTCTAATTGTTGGGAAACCTTCACTGGTAACCAAACTTGGGTAACCTTAACAATTTCAGGTCTCTTGTAACATTTCCGCTAATATTAAGCCATTATCTGATTTTGAGGAATTTATTGCTATTTTGAGCTTTTACCTTGTTATTCTCTCTACAGTGTCTGCCCAGCGTGGAATAGAGAATCAGCCCTAAACAAGGGATTCTCCCACTCACACATAGTATCAAATTTTTTATCCATTTAGTGCTTTATAAAATATAACACTTCCCTCTAATCATACACATGAGCTTCTGGTTAAAACTTGCTCTTCTCCCTTGTTTCCTTTTGGTATTATAGTGTGAACTCATTAAGCTCTGTGTAGTTAAATCTAAATTTCTTAGTTTCTATAATTAAATCTAAATGTCTTCACTTATGTAGTCAGGTCCACAGCTAGGTGTAATTATCCAGTTTCTATTCTGAGGATCATAAAATTTAGGATTGAAAGGCCTAAAAGATCATACAGTTCAAGCCTGCTCCCACCCCCTCAAGTGCAAGACACCCCCCCCCCCCCCCCCCCCCCCCCCCCCCCCCCCCCCCCCCCCCCCCCCCCCCCCCCCCCGCAGCGTCCCTGCCAGTGTTCCTGCTCAGGCTCTTCCAGGAAAAGGGCATTTTCAATACTGGTGGTTGCTTTGTCCTGTGGGATAACTCTTGAAATTCTGTCTCCTTTTATCTTCCCACTCTCTGGTCCCAGGTCTTTGCTTTATCATTACACAGAGTCAGTCTGACGTCTGTGGTAGCCCTTGGGACTTGTTAACACTTCCACGACGCTCTGTTCAGGCCTTCTCCTCAAGGGCTCAGTCCCTCTTGTTGCTTCTGTAACTTCCTCCAGCACCTCTCCCAGCCTGCTTACCTGCCACTTAAAAATTCCTCTGTTTGGTGAGAATGAGGGTCACAGCTGTGGCCACATTGCCCACAAAATGCCGTGAAGGACAGCCTTTGCCTCCACTGGAGTCGTTGGCAAATGAAAGTCTTTGATCAGCCTGCTTCTTGGTGGGAAGTGCAGCCACCTGTGTGGTGGGGGCCTCATGAACGTCCGTGTGTGGCCATTTACGAGTGAACACTGATGGTTTCTCAAAGCAGAGCCTCCTCCTGAAGCAGATAATTAGCTTTGTTAGAAGTGTAATTACAGAAGCATATCGTAAGCTTTCTAATTGTTTTCCCCTTGGTCTGGGGGACCAGAAATGATATTAAAAAGTTGGTCGTTATATAAGAAAATATCTTTATTTGGGGGAGGTACATGTGCATGTATTTATGAGTGAATGATGTGATGTTGGGGAGAGGGTTTGTAAAAGAGGAGGGGATAGAGGAGGCCATTATGGTGAACTGTTGGTAATTACTGAGTCTGGGGAATGAGTATATGAAAGTATATTATCTTGTTCTGTTTTGGCATATGCTTGAAAAACCTAAAGAATAGATTTTGTACACCTGTGAGTGAGTGAGCCATGAACGTATTCACAGGAGGAAGGACATTTGTTTGAGGAAGACTGTTAGGCTAGTCCTCCCTAATGGCCTGCGGCAGAGTCTCGGGTCAGTGGGGGAGGTTGGTATTGCTGGAGGTCTGAACCCCCCAGGTGTAGGATCCCTTCAGAATGTTCGTGGAGGGGTCTGGAAGCAGCTTTCTAGTACTCGTACTGCCCCATGTGATGCTCTCAGAAAAGTGGCTGTTGACACACATACATTGTGAGAACTGCTGACTTCTTACCCTTTAGCTTTCCATTGTTTTTTAGTATGACCCTCAGTTCGGTGATGCCTTCTGGAACAGCAGCAAATATGGGATGGTGACGTACTTGCTGAGAATGATGACCAGCTGGGCCATTGTCTGCAGCGTTTGGTACCTGCCTCCCATGACCAGAGAGGTGGGTACCCACGCCGGGCGGAGGTCTTCACTTACCTCTGTGGGACCTGCGTCAAGTGGTCTCATTCCTTCTTTCTTACAGACAGATGAAGGTGCCGTCCAGTTTGCAAATAGGGTGAAATCTGCCATTGCCAGGCAGGGAGGACTCGTGGACCTGCTGTGGTGAGTCAGAGCCAGATTTTATCAGCTGAGTCTGGGAGAAAGGGAATTGCTGAAGCACATGCTGAATCATTGACTCCATTTACAAAGACTGCTCCTCTCCCTGGTGTGGAGAGTTGAGCTCACCAGCCCTGGAGAGGGAGCGCCTTGCCTCCTTTGTCTGGGTTCAGTTCAGAAGTGCCATGTGTTACCTTGACCTCGGGGAACGTGGAACCCAGGAGGCTTGGACTGAAATAGTTGAGTCTGTGTACCTCTCTGGGGGGTGTGCCTGTCTACTGGGGCACCCACACAATTCCTGTCTCTTTAGGTAGAGGTGACCAGATGCTGATCTGGAAACCTCACAGGAAGACTGGGCTCTGATCTCATGTGTTAGGCAAAACTGGGTCATCCTAGAAAGGCAAAAGTTTTACGTATTGCATTTAGCTTGTTCCCTGCTAGAGCAGGGGTTGGCAGACTTTTTCTGTAAGGAGTCAGTAAATACTTTAGACTTTGTGGGCCATGTGGCCTCGGTTGCACCTGCTTGGCTCTGCCACTGGTGTGAAAGCAGCCGGAGATGATACATAAAGGAATGAGCGTGTCCGTGTTCCAGTAAAACCTTACGTACAAAAACAAGTGGCAGGCTGGATTTGGCCTAGAGATGAACTGGGATGAATGCCGGTTCAGGGGAACCATTCCACCCCAAGGACCCTTACTTATAAGTGCAAGGGTCAGCTCTGGGGGGCATTTGACTGAGGTGGACTTCATGGGAGAAGAAAGTGTAGAAATGCAAGTTTTAAACTGACCTGTGGATTCTTAGGTAATAGCTTGGCCCTCAGATTACAGCCTTTTTAAAAATGCTAACATTTATTGAGCACTTCCTGTGTGCCAAACACTGTGTGTCCAGTGCTTTATGTGATGGTCTCACTTCACCCTACCGTGGCTCCACGAAGGATGAAAAGCATCACTCCCGTTCTGCACATGAGAAACGGAAACTCAGAGTGGTTCAGTAGCTGTATAACAAAGGAGCCAAGTAAGCACCAGAGCCAGATTTTAAACTCAGGTCTGACAGGCTTCTAGAGCTGGAATGTTCCACCACTGCTCCACAGTCCCTGTCACTGAGGCCTGGTAAAGACAAGGGGCTACTTGAAAAGGATGCCCTTGCTGTGGATTTTAAAGGGTGTAGCAGATGCAAGGTCTCCCAGTGTAAGGTCTGTCCAGTGATAGGGCTTCAACAGAGTCTTGCCACCACTACCACCAGCATAATTCAGGGAAAAATAGTGTAACAGAAAGACGGAAGTGGGCTTGGATTTTCATTAGTCACTGCAGGTGATGATAATCTAGGGTGTAGGCAAGGAGGTGGGGTGACCATGGGTGGGAGTGGGACTTTGAGGAAGCAAGTCCCAGTGTGGAGGATTTATGTGGGGTATTGGAGGAGCTGCTGGGGTGGTTAGCCCAGAACTCTGAGAGGCGCTCAGATGCCCTTACGGTACCAGCCCTTGAGCACAGAAGTAGTAAGAACTTGGATTTCCCCTTGTGTTCGTTGTTGATGTGAATTTGGAGAATCCCTGGGTCTGAATTTGACAGATTTTGTTTCACAGATGAGTTTTACAGATTTGTCGTCAGTCTCAGTATGTTAGAGCTTGGCTAGCCTTCCAGTACCTCCTTTATCTTCTGTAAGGTGACAATGAACGTTCAAGTAGAATTAAACTCCTTGGTAGGTTAAGCAATTACAAAGCACCTTCAGTATGAGTAGTGAATTCTGACCCAGGGCAAGAAGGAGAGTTTTAAGGTAGAAGGGGCGGATTCCAGGAGTCCAGGGCTGGTTTCTGAGGTCATGCTGATGAGAGAGCCATGGAGTCCTTTTGTTTCTGGCAGGTTTTTCTTGGTCTTTGAGCAGCACGGTGCATCTGGCCGTGATGTGAGGGTGGATGGGAAGCCTTCTTTGCTGTTACATCCAGTCTTTCTGTCATCAGGGATGGTGGTCTGAAGAGGGAGAAGGTGAAGGATACATTCAAAGAGGAGCAGCAGAAGCTGTACAGCAAGATGATTGTTGGGAACCATGAGGACAGGAGCCGGTCCTGAGCCCGCACCTCTCGCTGCCTGGAGCCGCCATGCCTGAATCCTGACGCGGGAGCCCGCTGGAGTGTCGCCGCCGCCCCCACCGCTGCATCCTTTCCAGGCGCCAGGGCTCTTCGGGCTGCTCTGGATCCCAGGACTCCAGCTTCTTCAGAGCTGCCCCGGGGTCCCTGGGCTTGCCATCTGAAGTGAACCATGCTGGGTGTTGCTGCCCAGGACGAGATGCCTTCTTGTTTCTTTCACAATAAGTCCATTGGTGGAATGCCATTCAAGTCAGCTCTCCACCTGTGCATGTGCAGGGCTGAGTGTTTGGGAAAAATTGGCCCCATTCTCCTATCCAGGACATTATGATGTTAGTCTCTTATGGATGTCCACCTGCCAGGGACTTGGCTGGGGAGAGGGTGCCCCCACCCGTGAGGAGAGGCACTGCCAAGGCAGTGTGGTCACTTCAGGCTAAACATCACCCCCAGCCTTGGAGCTCTGCAGACTTTATAAAAGGAAAACTTGTCTGCAGGGGCTTTCAGCAAAATGAAGTTTTAAATTCTTTGCTGCTGCCCATGGGCGGTCACTGAAGGGGACGGGAAGAGGTGAGGTGGACCAGGGACTGGTGTGTAGTGGGAACCAAGAGTCATTTTGCACTCAAACTCCAGTGCTCTCCCTGAACTCCCATGGGTGACTTGCTCTCTGTTAACATGTGCCTCAGTTTCCCCGTCTCTAACCTGGCTGGGAAGGGAAGGGTGGTGAGACCTACCTCACAGGGCTGTTGTGGGGATGGAAGTGCTGCTGTGAGTGAAGGGCCGGCCGAGCTCAGTGTTACAGGTTCAGATCCATGAAGGCGGCAGGACAAGGTCTGAGCTCAGGGCTGCTGCTCAGGGCTTGGGGTTGGTTTTGTGAGTAAATAAAATTGTCTTTGATGGTGAATGAATTGAGGGGTTTCTCCCTTCACTCTTTCTCCCCTAGATGTAGCCCTAAGCCACATGTTTCATATCACAGTCACAGTTCTCTGACTTGAACCTCAGCCCGGGACTGTAGGGAATCTGCTTGACTTCTGGAACGAGGACTAGTGTTGTTGGGAAGACAGTAAACGACTCATGTCAGATGTTTGCATCTCGCTGATGAATTTACAATTCCCAGCACAGACCGAGATGTGGATTTCTGCGCAGATCGGGCACCATTGGTTGAGTTTGGGGCGAGTGGAAGGTGGCAGGGGCAGCCTGTGTGTAAGGACAGTGGGAAGCAGTGAGGAAATACAAGGGCAGGGAGGAGCAGAGGTTCCTGAAGGGTTGGTGAGGGTGGTGAGATGAGCAGGTAGGTGTTGGGTGCACCATGGGCTTCCATACAGCCAGAGGGAAACCGTGGGCCTCGGGTCTTCCTGCGCCCACCATGAAGGCAGAGCCCAGCCATCCTCGCCGGTTCTTGCTTTGAGGGCCCAATTTCAAATCTCACAGCAGAGAGAGCGGCCTCACCCCCCACCGTTTGTTGATCTCTCTGTCCCTCCCCTCTCCCTCCCTTGTCTCCGGTGTGAGAAAGGTCACGAGACCTCTCAGGACTTTGCTCGAGCCGTGGTGAATGTCACCTCTCCGAGGCTGCCCTCTGGCCTGGGTTTGGAGATGTGGGGGAGTGGAGCCCTGCTCCGGAGGCTGCTGGGCTGGTGGCACCTTCCTGCCTGACCTTAGTCTGGCTCCCGCCCCGCGGCCCTCCTGTGCCTCTGCCTCCCTGAAGAGCCGCCCAGCTCCTCCTCCTGCCCTGTTGCTAACCAGGGAAACATTCTTTTTTCTCTCAAATAAAAACACTATTATAACTGTAAGAACAGCCTCTTATGAACTAAATGTTTTACTAAATGTTCAAGAGTAAACAGTGGTTTTCAGCTTACAGAAAGTGTTACAGTGTTTAAAATTATCTGGAATGATCTTTAAAAATTGGTCTTGAAGATCAAGTTCCCTTTTTAAAAGTTCCCTTTAAAACAAGCTGCTGTTTAGTACATTTATTTCATGATTTTCACAGGTATTTTTTGTTTGTTTGGTGAGGAAGACCAGTCCTGAGCTAACATCCGTTGCCAATCCTCTTTTAGCTGAGGAAGACTGGCCCTGGGCTAACATCCGTGTCCATCTTCCTCTACTTTATATGGGACGCCACAGCATGGCCTGACAAATGGTGCGTCAGTGCGCACCCGGGATCCGAACCTGCAAACCCCAGCCCGCTGAAGTGGAGCACGCGCACTTAAACCGCTACGCCACTGGGCCGACCCCCTTCACAGGTATTTTTTAATACTTTGTTTTTAGTTTTCTCATATTTTCGGCAAACCTGTCGATTACGATGACCTAGCAGAGTGTTGAGGAACCTGATTTAGAATCACTGCTACGTTAAGAAAAACTTGTGGAGACTGGACAGTGGTTATGTTCCTCTTGCACTAAGTGAGGAGAAGGGATGTGAATTACACTCCCAAAAGGAAATCTCTAAAATTGTATTTAGTGCTTGTTGCAAGCATGCAGACTCATCGGACTGCTCCACCCTTTTAAATTGGGGTCCCTGCAGGCCCCGCGTTATCCGTAAGTCAGAAGACCTGGTTTGAGAACTGGGTCGGTCTTGTGTGGTCAAAGCTCAGGGCACTTAGGAACAAGGACAAAGAAGCATGTTGACTGCAAGCTCCGCCTTGTGACCCCGGCCGCGATGGGGCGGCCTCGGGGGGAGCCAGGGCGGCTCAGTGGGCTGAGCGCTGGCTGCCGTCCCACTTGCAGGCCTGCTGCTCTTGTGCTCTGGCTGTTGCTGCTTCCTGATCCCTAACTAAGGACTTGGCTAAATGACCTCCAACGCCCTTTCCACCTCTGAAATTTCTGTCATTTTTAAACCATAGTTCAAACTTTGGCTTTTGAAGTTCTGAAGTCATCTGGGTTCAGAAATAAGAGAAGTCAGTCTGAATCCATCTGCTTCCTCCAGGACTTTGGGGGCTGGTGAGACTCCACTAGAGGGGTTCCCCGTGTGAAGGAGAGTGCCCAGTGTGTTAGATGATTGTGGGCCTGGGGGGGGTGGGATTGTGGGTCTTAGACTTTTCACTCAAACATGAGATTTGTTTTTCAGCTGGTTAGAGAAGAAACTTTCTAAAAAGGCTAGTAAAATTCCCCGACCAAGAAGCTCAATAGAAGGCTGTCAGCCAGGCCAGAGCTCAGCAAGCTAAGCTCGATGGAGCAGTATGAGATGACATCCTTGTGACGTGGTTAACCAGCTGTGGAACTGGATTCTGCACTCTCTCAGCCCCCACACCCTGTTGCTGCCCTTCAGACAGTAAGAAAGGCTTGATGTGCAGTGGTGGGAAGTGCTCTGTGGGGCACTGAATGCCCATGCCAGGCCAGTGACGAGTCTTTGGGTACCACCCTGTTTTAGCCCTTCACAGCAGCACCCTGCCGATGGGTGGGCACTAAGTCTGTTGTCCTGCAGAAGTTTTCTGGGACTACATCCTACCATTTCCTTCCTGCAATTGACCAAAAACTCAGTTGTCTGGGGAACAGTGCTTCCCGCTGTGCCCTGATGCATGAGCGAGTCACCTGTGTCCTGGGGCCCATCTGCCTGCTGTGTGTCTTGGGTGGCCAGACGCGATTTCTCCAGCCGCACTTGCCATGTGTGGCCTGGGACATCCAGGCTGGCCGGGAAGTTGCACGCACGCTGACTCCTGGGCAGGTTCAGAGATGGCCACCCCGCCATCCGTCTTCCACTGCACTGCCACCCTGTCTCCCCCAGTCAATATGTCTCTCTCCGATGGGAAAGTTAATAAATTTTGCTCTAGATTAAAAGTATTGATCATTTCATTTGTAAACGATAAATAAAAAGGGGGAACTTTTCATCGCACCAGGAGTAGCGCCTAGTGTATTTTGCTGGTGAAATTGCGCCAGCTCTCTGGGGTGGGCTTCTCATATGCATTCCGGCCGGCCGGCGGCATTGATTTCCTATTAGTCTCCCTGCACCACCCAGTAACACATCATTTCAGTACCTGCTATTAATGCTCTTTTGATAAATAATCACTTGTAAGTCAATAAATTTTTATTAAACAGTGTGGCTCTTTGATTTATTAAAATCCGACTGTGTTTGTCTGGGAGAAAAGGGATGCTGAATTGAAGTGGAAGTTTTCATATATCTTCCTGACGCTGAACAGTCACTGCACACTCCAGAGAAAAACAATTGCATTTTAACAGAAACAAAACAGCCGAGTTTGGAACTTGGGCCCAGTGAAACTTTATCTCCGTCAGTGTGAGGCTTACTCTGCAGGGGGCAGCTGCAGGCCCGAGGGCGCTGTGTCAAGAACCCTGGGTTTGCTTCCGAGAGCGGTGATGTACCCGGGCTGGGCCCCCCTCGGTCTCATCCTGGGTAGCACAGACCCTTGCTGATGCCGCAGCTGGGTCCAAGGGTCAGTCCTGCCCACCTGGGAGGTGCACCTGGAGTAGGCACCCTGTGAAAACACATTTGGGATCCCTGCAGGACCTTTCAGCTTCCTGCCTGGCCAAATCACCAAAGTCACGGCTTGTGGCAGGAAATGCCAAGAAATGGTCTGTATTTTGTTATGTGGAGGTTTGGCTGTATGTATTATTTTACAAAGTGAGCTAATTTCCGAAGACTGGAAACTTTTTGTGAGATTGGCATTGGCATCAAGTTTGCTGTAAGGGGTTTGACACCTCTTTGAGACTAATATGGCCCCAAACAAGAATATGGAGCCGCCTAACCACTGAATATAGAGCTCCCAGCCCAGAGGGAGGTTAGGGAAAGGGAAAAGCCTGGCTAGTCAAGTGCTTTTAGTCAAACTGATAGTTGGGACTCGCCTTGACCCTGCCCTTGTCCAGGCCACTGCGGCCGACTTCTCTTCCGTTCCTCTCTAATGTGATGGGTTCACAGGAGAAGGGCTTGCGAAGCGGGGGTTGCTAGGAAGAAGTTCAGCTGAGGGCTTTAATGTTTTCAAACATTTTATATTATTACATGTTTAAACCACATTTTAAAATGTTTTTAAGATCTAATGTTTTAACCCTGCTGCAAGGTTTCTGTCGTTGCTTGGAGCTCCTTTTCTGTCCCGGTCTTGGGGGTGAAAGCTGCTGTGTCGGGGCTTCTTGAAGGGGAACAGGAAGCTGGAGAGAGGAAACGTGACTGCCGGCCCGGCAGGTGCATATTAACATCGGGGTTTTCAGGAGCCGGCCGCTGTCCGTGTGCAGGAGGGGGTCAAGGACCCAGGGGCTCTTCCGAGGAGCCCTGAGGCCTGTGTGCAGGCTGGAGCCCCAACCCCACGCCTGGGGTGGTGCAGTGGTGTGCC